ATGAATAAAGAATTGTTGACAGTTAACGAATTTTAATGAATAAAAGGGTTAACAACTGCTAACTACTAATCAGGAATAACAACAACAGAAGCAACAAAAAAAGTAAAATTCGCAGAAAATTCGAATAACCTGAACTATACTGTGGGCATTAGGGAATGTATGAATGCGTGAATGCCTGCAAGCTTCATTGCATAAATCACTCATTTGTAGAGGATCGAACAGAAACAAATACGTGTTTACCGACACAAAATTCCATGATAAACCACGCACGCACGCATTCCTCTCATATTGACACGCAAGCGTTCGAGTATCATTGTGCAAAAATCAATATCTCATACATGGAAATACTTAATTGATGATGAGATAAGCTAAGGAATTTCATCAATTTCATGAAGAGTTAGACGAAACGGTTTTAAATTCCAGAAGTATTGACTTTTGTAGTTTTAACAAGAGCTGAATGATCCAATAAAAGTAATGAATTTAAGATTTAAAAAGTGATTTTATGAAAGCATAAACTGGTACAGATGTAAAACTAGCTGCAACAATCAAACCGAAAATTGACATATTTCGGAGGAAGAGATGAAAAAAGCACTAAATTCACTTTTTCGCAAGTTTTATTCCCTTCCTATTGCTTACATATCATATATTTCAAGTTTTCCATAAATAGAAATGCAATGCAGTGATAGGTTCTTAATTTAATCACTTATGAATTTACAATAATAATTAATTGATGGCATTATTAGTAACCGCGTACTATGGAAATTTTATCAGCTGAAAGTAAAAAAGAATTTTAGGATTTAGATCGTAACTGAAACAGATGTTCAAGAGTTTTCTCGGTGGTGATATGCAACGTGACAGCCATCTAAAACACCTGTAAACAAAAAGGAAAATTTCAGTATTGGATATATCTGCATATTTTCTGATGTTAAGAACTTTTAAAGCTGAAAAAATAAATCAATTTATTATTAATGCAAGCTGATTTTTGTTATTATACAAAACGCTCAATTTTATCTTTATGATTATTTAAATTCAAAATTGAAATGGTTTATTCCACTGAAATTTCATTTTTCAGCACTTAATGTAATATCTTTTTGGCTTATTTGAAGCTTTTGTCATTCATGCTTTCTTTTATAATTTAACATTGTCCGATCGAGATCAATATCACCCGAATTTCGTGCATGAATGGAAATTCGTCCAATACCATTCATTTACGAGGGAAACAAATACCCGTTTGATATGGAGAGCGAATAACTTTTAAAGATAACGAAGAAATCATCATGATATCCTTTTATCAGATTGTAAAATGAGAAATTTTAATTGCAGACTTTTGAAAAAAAGTTATTTACTTGTCGTACCTTTTTTTTTGACTTCTACGATTTTTTGCAACGACATATTTAAATATTACTGGATTTTATGTGATGATTTAACTGCAGAAAAATTCGTGAACAATTCGAATTAATTTATAAATGTTAGTCGATCACAAACCAAATTTTTTAATCATTTGAAAGAAATGCTGGAGTATGGTACAATTATTTTCTTGTATTTAAACAAATTTAAATAGGAAATCCTTTTACGAATTTATAGTGAGACTAAATGAGAATTACAAAACTGAATTAATTGAAACTATCATAAACGAAATAATGCGTACCATAATGATTTTGACAATTCTCAATAATAAAAAAATATTAAGACTAATTTTTCAAAATTTCCCTAAATCAGTTGTATCTTTGCTTAAAAAATTTTGACTGAAGCATTATTTGCGAAGTATGGAAATAAATTTTTATGATAATTTCAAATCTTTTTAAATAAATGAAACAGCTCATATGAGGAAAAAATTCTGAAATTCAGTGATAATATAATTTGATCATAACCGTTAATGAACGAACCGAAATTTAATATTTCCTTTCATTCAACTGGTTAATTTCAATCATATCTTTCAAATGATGATAATGATCTCAGTTCAACAATCATTCGCTCTCTCCTTCCTCTACGATAATCTCAGCGTTGTATTGGAATTCAGTCATTGTGTAAAAAATGATAAGTAATTATTATTGTCGATGAAAAAGAAAATCGAAATTGTTTCTGACGGATTTACATATGGTTCTATCTGATACACAGGTTAATCACATAGCTGTCCAATACATCTTTATGTTAAAGTTTAATGATAAATGTTAAATGTTTGTGCAAATTATTAACTACTATATTGATTGATAATTATAAAAATAGGTGATTTTTTTAATGAAAATATTTTGCACTTGTATAAAGGAAATCTAGATCTTATTATTTAAAAAGGCGAATAAATATAGATAAAGTTTATATTGCATTGGTTGCTCTCATGAAGAATTTTTAGCAATAATTCTAGAAGTAATTCGAAACACACTTAATTAGTAATCTAATAAATTAACCTCAAATAAATTGTCATAGTAAAAAAAAACATGGCATAACAAAGTGTCTCGAACATTTCACCTTATTATAAATCAGAGGCAATTCAAAATAAATTATTATCATTACTAAGGGTAAATTGTAAGAAAACAAAAGGATAATAAAATTAATAAATAAATTATAAAATTCACTGAAATGTCAATGTGTGAAATACTTCTTATCATCGTTTCCAGTGTTAAATTCTCGACGATGAAATATTCTTAACAGTATCTATCACAGGCATTAGTACTTCGATATAATCTTTATATCTATTCAAATAAACCATTGTCTACTTTATAAGACCGAAAATGCTTAGATGAACATTTAGACATATCACAACATAACATATCACAAAAACAAATTTTAAACTACATTGAATGAACTTTCTGTGATAATCCTCTAATCTCAAAAATTATTAGCGCAAATAGCTAACTGGTAATAGCGCCCTTAAAATTTCTCAAGAAAATCGAAATAATTTTATCGAAAAAAAGATACATATATAGAAATTTCTTAATGATTTATCAGTTATAATAAATATGAATGAATGCTTGTACTTAGCAAATTCTCATGCTTAATTTACATCTAAATGTTCATCTAAGCATTTTCGGTCTTATAAATAAATATTCCCATCAAAACTAATCTTATATTCGTTGGTTACATCTATTTATCCATTCCTTATCATTTTTTGTAATCATTTGACTGCATCGTAATATATTTTTGTAAATCATTATATATAAAGAGTTAAATTTCTTCAGAGAAGCTTCATTCCTGATTCATTGATAATAGAGTATTCTAATTTTGATTGTTCTCTCATCGTCCATTGACATTATTTTATTGCGAATTTCGATTTACCTTTATTCTCATTGTTACTTATTTACTTATCAACTTTCCGTTTGAGTAGTGGCACAGTTCGTAATTTTATAAGTCATTCATTTATATGAATTTGCGACAAATTTTATAATTCTTTTTCAAAATTTATGACTTTTAATTCAAATTTTACAACTCCTTTTTTTTAAATTTTAAAACAAAATTTATAATTCAAATTTTTTAACATGACTTTATACATCAATTTCCGAAAACTGTTACGAAATTAGTATTGACATTTCAACAAGGCCGTCTTCTGTCTAATTCATAAACCATTTTAGAAGTGGCATTGATCAAATAAATGCTGATAATTTTCATTTATCTTTACTTTAATTATATGATAATGTTGATCTTTTAATTATTTTATATAAATTAGCTTTGAAATTCAAAATCAAAAGATGTTATAAAATTGCAAGATTTCTCCATGCCGCAAAGATTTTTGAGAAACATAATAGTTTATTCATATCCTTCATGTGCTAATATTAAAAATATGAGTTCATTTATCACATATATTCAATTATCAAAAAAGTGCACATTCATTACAATCTGTTGCAATATTTCTAATCAACAACTTTTATTTAATTAGAAATAACAATGATTTTACATTTCACTATACAGAGAAGAAATGGTTATACCATTAAGATTTTGCAATCGCTCCCACATCACTTTTAAAATCATTATTACTGAGTCTTTTAATTGGTTTTATAAACTATTTTAGTTTGATCATAATAACATCTCCAGTACATTTATCGAGAAAACATTATAAACAGATAATTCAGCTTCAATTTAATTTCATTAAATTCAATAAAGTTTTGAAATTTCTTAAGCAGAATGTTGTATAGTAGTAGTCGTTTTTGTTGAATTTCTTTCATAAAATAATTGAAAAAATTTTATTACTTTTGACAGAAAAAAAGAAAAAAAAAATCTTTTTTATAAGATCTTTTATGGTCATCTTGAATGACAAGCAAACACTTTAAGGCTCCTTTTTCAAGCATTTATAACTACCGATAATATTTCAAGTATTAATAATTTAAGCATTTTTAGCATTTCAAGAAAACGATCGTTTTTATAGAAATCGAAAAGACTAGATTATTACTTTGTAAGTTAACAACTAATTTAAAATTATTGGTTTCAAAATTATCAAAAAAAAACTGCAAATATTCTCCTGAATAATTTTCTTTAAACACTTGAAATAACCAGCAAATTAATTAGCGATAAATGAGAAGAAGAAATACTTGATATTATGAGGTGGAAATAGCGGGCGAGATAATTTCATGCCTTCGTAACCTTCTACAGAATTGAATTAGTAGATCAGTGAGTACAAGCATACACGGAATGATAAGTAAACCATGAGAAACACATAGAAAAATACATAGCAACATCGATTTCACAAATACCTGGAATTAGCAAAATATTATGTTTTAGTCTTGAAATTAAATATTGCATTTTAGATGTAGTATGTGATTTTTGAAAACTATATTTTGAAATAGAAGAAAAAGCATAAATTTTTCGACATCCAGAAAAAAAGTTTTTTATAAATTACTAAAGGCAAATCAAATTCAGGCAATGTCGAACAAATCAATGATATTTTGCTTCAAAGAGTAATATTAAAACAATCTCAATATTTTCTGCTTATTTTTAAAAGTTCACCGTCATATTTCAGCGAAATCAAAACATTCATTTACCGCATCAAAATACTAAAGCTAAAATTTACGTTAAAACAAAAGAAAAGTGGCAAAACAAGCCTGTGCTATGTAGAGCTCTTTAAAAAAAAGGCCAAGCAAGCATAAACTTGTGCTTATCGATGCTTGCAATGCAGGAAGTGCTACGGAAGCAAAACATATTCGTAACTTTTCCTTTACTGTTAATCGATGCTTACTTGTTGTTCCTGAAAAACTGCACTATCAATCAATTAATATCTTTTGACCAAAATTAAAATAATTTTGAAAAACTAATAAATTTGCTTTTTCTCCATTCCAAAAATTTACGTTAAAACAAAAAAAATCTGAGGTCTTTATTCAATAGACTCTTGACAAATCTTTTGTCCAAGCACAATCGAAATATCTCCTGTCTAAATATCAGTATAAAAGGCTTACCGCTATTATTATAATGATAGGCTACGTGAGCTGGTATGTCAACACTAAAACCCATTGAAATTAACATCGCAGCCATCATGATCGGTTCCAAATTAAAACCCATTAAAGTCAATATTCCAATAATACCTTTAAAATAAAACTTTCCTTTAACAATTGAGCAAAATTTAATGACAAATATTACATAAATGATCTATATTAAATTAAAACAAAACCTTTGAAAAAAAAAAATTCGAATAACAACAAACCAGTCATAATGGAAATAATAGCAGCCGATATAACAGCCACTGTAAAAAGATCGTATAAAAAAATGAAGGAAATAAATGCCATGCAAAGTAAAATGCCAAGCGCTGATTGTAATGCATCAGTTGTCATATTATCAATCAAATCCAAGAATATTGCATCGTCCACAAAAACGGTTACATTGAATTCTCTGAAAGGTGAAATTTTCTTTCATTAAACATCGACAATTATTGTGATAATTTTCTACTACTATGATAACACTTCACTCTTGTTATCATCACTGTGTTATCACGTTGTAAATGTGATCATTACAAAGGCAATCAATCATTAGTTATCGTTTAAGTTAATCAATACACGGTAATATCAATAGATCGTTAAGAAACGTTATAAATTCATCAATTAGACAATATTGACCAGAGACTGCTATATTATTTTTTGTAAAGAAAGGATGAAGTTGAAATTTTGGATTAATTAGAGTAAGTTAGCATTTAGTTAACTGTATGAGTGTTTTACTACAAACTTGTATTTATCTATAATGTTGCGCCATTTATTCAACATAACACCTCTCTCCGGCCAATTCTTCAAATTTTCACCATAATAAGCGGTTGTGAAGAAAAATCTTAGCAGGTGACCACTGAAAATAAGTTTTCAAACCATGCGTTTTGCGCAATTTCACTTATTCGCCATGACGTAGGCATGAAACGCGTTTTGTTGCTGAAGTTGAAGTATAATGAAGTACAAAGGAAAGTAGCACAATGAGTGAAAGAAATCTAATAAGAGGATCATATTCGTACCATCGATAATTTAGAGGAAATTCTTGAATGTACAAAAATTTGAAGAAATTAAAATCGAATTTGGATTTATCATCTGAAAACTAGAAAAAGTAATGCAGCTAAACACTAAAAAAAAAGAAAATAAACTTGGCAAAATTAATTGTGAAATTCAAAAGGGACATAGAAATTACGTCGTTTCATCGAGAATCAGAAAACCATGCCATCTCTGATATTCAGGCCAGTCTAAAAATATCGACAAATCATCTTCTCTCAGTACAACAGAAGCATTCATTGGATCTGAAATTTTATGCATAAATGAATAAAATTTGAATTTTGCTTTAACAAAATGTTATGCGCTAAAAATAACTTTATCAGAAAAATATTGAGGAAATTTTATTCATTATTAATTTATAAGATAATTGCACTGTAGGAAAGGAATGCATATACATTATATAACTTGCACACATACATGCATGCACAAAAGCATGTAGAATTGCATGTTGTTCGCTGTTGCAGGCCTTCTGCTTGCATGTGGCAATTGCATATCATTACAAATAATTGAACGAACCATAATTAACATCTGCTTCATTCAACTGTCTTTCGTAATCAATGAAATCACGAATGAAATAATTGGTACTCTCTGAACCCCAAGAACCATTCATAAGTTCCAATTCAGAAACCATTTGATTGAGACGTTGTAATCGATCCACATCTGATAGATTTCCAGGATTGTTCACGTAAAACTGTGCCATAGTGTGCTGAGGTATTTGGTACCATTGTAGCAGATTGTTCAACTAAACCAAAAAAAAGCATTATTTTTCAAACTAATACAATTCTAAGGATAAAATTCTCCCTGTTGAATATGTTTTATACAAGCGCATTTTTTCAAGTATAATCATTGTTATTTGATTATTCAAATTAATGCATATTTTACTTTTAACCGAAATCGATTACTTTATAATTAATGAATTCATGACCTTTGAATGCTTATTTTTTGTAAAACTTTAAAACGAAAAAGGAAACCTCAATAAGTGGTGAATCCAACGGGAATAATTTTTCCGATGTTAATTCAATTTTTATTTTAGTCATTCCCTAAAAAAAATCAAAAGCAATCAGTTGAATATTTTGTATTGCATTACTATGCGATAAAATTTGTTTAAATTTAGTTAGCACAAAAAACAAAATGATCTTTTCGGAAAATTTTTTCACAAACTGAATGCTTGAAACATACATAAATTGAAATTATGGTCAGAAGAATCCATGAACAAAATACACCGATAGCAAAAATCTTGTTTGTGACTAATGTGACGTAGCCTTCAAGCACAGAGGCGCAAATGTTCTGCGCATATTCACGGAAATTATGTGAGTTCTAAAAAAAGAAAGTGTTATCTTAATATATGGATGACTCTTTTGTCTAAGACTTCCATTCTTTTTTCTTTCTTAATAGAAAAAAATAATTAGGAAAAAAAGTAATTAGACAGATTAAGATATAAAGGCCGCAAATTTTCCGTTAGAAAGGAATGCCCCATCAGGCAAAATACATTATGCTAATTTCTATTCGATCTCTAACCCTTATGATCTTTATCTCCATTTTATTTTATTTCACTGTCAAACGGATACGATTGATGACGAAGAAAATTTCACCTTTCCGCAATAATTTATTATTGTGCCTTTTTTTTCATTGTCAATTTTAATTGAATGAGTATTTTGTTGTTCGGCTGCTGTTTTTATTTCAAAATTTCCCATAATACACATTATTGCCGAATAAAATGTTAACTGAAAAGATCAAAGGTATAGCATTAAACATTGAAATTATTTATCAAATATATTAAAAGGCAATAATTACTTAATAATCAATCATGTTTTGCTAAAATTTAAAACAAAGTGTGTTGATGAAAGTAATGCAGTTTTATCGAGCTAATTAAGTGTCACCAAAAGTTTCCAATCTATTTTTTGTGACAAATAATCGTTTTCACTTGCTCTTTTTTTCACCAAACAAAATGTAGCATTTTGAGGATAGGTGAGTTGAAATTCAAAATACGATGAACAGGAAACGATCAGCTTCCATAAATGCAAACAAAAAAAAGCTGTGGAAAGAAAAATGAAGCCAAAAATGCTACTAGTTTATTTCAAAATTTAAAAGTTTCCAAATAAAATTTAAATATAAATAACCTTTATGATAAATCATAATGAATTTATAAACTAACCTGATAAACATAATCCATAAAAATGGATACCATATTGCCAAAGCATAGTATTGTGATGGATGGTGAACTAGTTAGGGCGCCAACTGTATCAGCCAGAATATTCGTTAAGGCTGATATTAAGATTGCTGGTCCAGTATCTTCTAATACCTGAAAGTACTTAATATCATTATCTGAACCTGAAGAAATCGATAGTCTATAACTGATCATTACAACTAATCGTTGAATTACTACTGATCACCTGTGCAAGACGATACGGTACGCAATCATCTTTGATAGGATGTAAATTGCATTCTCTCGTAATACGTTGCCATGCGTGTATCATCAAATAGGCATCATCAACACCTACAAAATAAACCCTGAATAAAACACGATATTAATAACTGTATTTTTGAATTTTTTTTGAAAAATTTTATGAATAATTAATTAGGCAAAACTATGTAGGATACTATATTTTATGCAGCAGACTGTGCTGGATTAAAATATTTTTATCATTTAAAAATTTTGCAACTTACCAATTGCAAGAGTAAGAATTGGTGTTACAGATAAGATGGCATCATGTCGTACTCCAATAATTAACAATAATCCGATGGCTGTTGCATTAGCCATTAAAGGACAAATACAAGCAAAAAAGGTCAAATAAATCTGAAAAATTAAGTTGATAATAAATATATTTAATTTCTCATTTCTTTTTAATAGGCCAAAATCATTTTTTGATGAAACTGTTGTATTGAAATTGCATTAAATTCTTATCAATATTTTTCATTATCCAATTGCAGATAATCTTTTATTCACAATTGCTAACAATTGATAAGGATTTTATCGTTATATTCATATTATTCCTTTCATTATCAAACCTTATAAATGCTCATTTGTTGCATATATAATGCACTGATCGTTGTTGATATTGCTGAGCAAATGAACATAATACCGAAACCGACAACAAAATACGGTAATATACTTAAACCGGCACGAGACATCTCATAATCGATGTACTCAAACGACACAACCAGCACACGAGTATATTTTGACATGTAATTACTAAAATTATATTTTAAATTATATTAAGAAAAAATCGTTCCTTCCTGTTAACATCAAATTTGATGTTTTTCTTTTAATCTTTTAGTATAGCAACAATAATTCAATTATCCTTACAATAATTAAATTTATTTTTTAATTCATCAAATTTTTGCACATATTAAAATTGGTAGAGACACTTTGATTGGATTTGAGAATTACTTTACATTTAGCAAACTTTGATCTGTAATGTTGTAAAGCTTACATGACATACATGAAGCATATACAATAGTTTGTCATCAATAAAAAGCATGCGTGCCAATTTAGCATAAAAAATGTGCAAGCCAATTTCAAATTTATTTACATTTCGATATTTTATTTCGATAGAAATTTACTTTGGCATTGTTACTAATGTATTAATTTTTTTTCATGAAGAAAAAAAACAAGTGCAATATATCTCATACATTACATTGTTAATGCAGGATTTTCACATTCTAAAAAGCTTTTCGCGAGAAAAGTTGTCACAGATTTTCTTGATGACCGATTGGTGAAGTTTAAATATTTACTTTATTCGAGTTTTCCTTTTGGACTTAGATCAAAAAGCAGTACTGTTTGATATTTTTTGCTTACATTTTTTTGTCATTAATTGTTGGCAGGAGTTTAATGGAAACATTGAGATAATAAACTTTGGAATAAAAAAATTCATATAATTCAGAAAAGCAAAAAGATTCGTGTAAAGAAGAGATGAAAATTTAACATATATCAATGATATCGAATGTTTCTAAGATATTTCCTAGCATTTCTCATACATATCAAACGGAATAGTTTTGATGGAATATCACTTTGATTAGTGAATATCATTTGGTGATAATTACATAGGTATGAAATGGCTAAATAAAAAGAATTTAAATAGGTAAGATTAGGTATGATATTCGTGATAACAGTATTTATCATTTTCTTTTTCTGCATATTTCTTCATTATTACTTTCTTTGTTATTGATTCTTCTCCACTACATTATACCATTGAGGAAATGATGAGAGAAATAAAACTTACTGTTGAAAATAACGAACAATGCTTAATTCGTACTGTTGCGTTTGCTTAACAGTCCAATTGCCTACTCGTTCTCCGCGATACATAAGTCTTATCATTTTCGCCGATATCATATTTGTAATAAATGGAGCATAATTAATGATTTCCGTAGTTGAATTCATCGTATTATCCATTATTAGGGTATCATTTTTGAATTCTACTCCGTTGAAATTCATCTACAAATTGGTAATGAAGTGGAAAAGATCGGAAAATTGATTAGAATTGCCCGATTATTCATTGATAATACATTAAAAGAAGTTAATGATCAAATCTCATTTGAATTTTCGAATTATTCAATTTCCAGCAGTCAACAATTAATATACTTCTTCGTGATTTATTTAAAATTTTTCCATACATTTTTTGCATACTTCAACATTGCCAACAATTGTCACTTCTGACGATCAAATATTTAATTTAGAATTAACCATTTTCACTCAATAATATTATACAATACCTGTATGTTGAAAGCTCGGCTGTATATTTTGGAAATGGGATAATTCAATGATATTCGATCATTTAATGGTTGATGAGCTCGAAACCGTTCTAATTGCACTTCAAAACCATTCTGTAATTATTACTATTCTATAAATTTATCTAAGCAACAAATTCCATTTATTTAAGAACTTTTCAATGTCTCACATATCGAATATAATTTGGAGAAATGTATTTGTTGAGTTTTAACTCTTACGGTACTTTTATAGTACTGAATTTTAACTTTTATAGCTTAAATCATTGTTTTTTGCATTTTCAGACAAAATACAAAAATTTGTTACTTCTCAAAATTTGATTTGGCTAGAAAACGATTTTAAGATTAAAAAAAATGATTTAAAAAATTATTTAAAGCTTGGCTTGAAAAAGAAAAAAATAAAAAAAACAATGATTTAAAGCTTGGGGCAGAGTTTTATACTCTTTCATTAAAAGACTTCAAATTTAATGCATAGATTTGGATGGTATTTAAAAACACGAAGATAAGTCATTTTTAATTTAAAGCTGTTAATTGCTAATTTGATTACTTACGAATGTGTCTTAGCAGAGTGGGAATGCGATTTGGTTTTCGAGCAATAATTTCCACAAAATGTATCTATTAAAATTCAAAAAAAATAAAATAAAATTACATAAAAATGTTGCAATGGAAGATTGATAAAGCAGAAACTGCGACAAAATTCATTAAAAGACTCTTCCTTTTTAAGAATATGATTGTATATTGTAAAATTATTCGAAATCAATTCATCTACCTGAAAAATGCTTAATTAAAAGATGCCACTGCCTTCTAATAGCATTGTGGAGTAGGAAGTCTTATAGAGTAAAGAATATTTAACAGATAGATGAAATTGAAAAGTTTATGAAGATAATTCTCGAATATTTAAAATTTGGTCTTACATAATTTAATTTACTCTTTGGTTGAACTTTGTTCTTACTTCAACAGCTTCTTTTAGCACTTCTGCTCTTAGCATTGAACCACCATCTTTTGCAACGATAAGAGCCATTAAAAGAATTCCTTTACCGCTATGATTGGTGAACTGTTCCTGTACCGCGTATTCCTCACGTGATCGTACTCCGTATGGTATAAAACCCATTAAATCATTTTTAAAACTGCAATTTTGAAGAATAACCTTTTCAAAAGTTTATCTTTGCGAGTTAGCAACCAATGGGCAAAATGTTTTTTGAAATGAGTTAGCAACTAATGAGCAAAATGTTTGTTCTACTTTGATTGAAATAATCTAGGACATTTTACATTCAAAAATGCATAACATGCTGTTGTTTGATTTATCATCATTTTGAAGGATGAAACAGAAATGGAATGAATTAAATTTAACTCAAGATTTAAAAATGATTGGTTTATATTTAAGACAAGTTGTTTTCGTCGTTTCTGTAGCTAAAACTAACGAAGTAAAGAAACTAACGGTGTAGTAATGACTTTGAAGATACATAAGGTTGATATTAAAACGGAGATAACAATTGAAGCAGTGATATGATCGGCTATAAAATACGACCAACGCCTGTACAGAAGATTAACATATTGAATGAGGCGCATTTGACTTCCCGGTTTGGTTGAAAATGACCATAAGGATGACAAATGCATCGATGTTAATTTATAAAGCCAACCAAGTGATGATATCTCCAATCTGGAAGCTGGATAAAATGATCAGTATTTCACTGTTTTTTTTAAAAAATTTGTTTCTTCTTTCAAAATTTCTTCCAATCTGGAATAAAGAAAAAGGAGTTCCCTTTTTTATATGTTAGTGGAGAAAAACAATGGAAAGAAGATGAAATTTATAATTGTAATACATAAAAGTTCCATTTATCTGTTAGTTGCACACAAAGGCAATAATTTTTGATTGATATAATAAAATAGAGACAAGAAAACAATCATGAAAGAGAGGAAGAGGGTGAGAGAGAGAGTGAGCGAAGATGAAGTATTAATTAGTTGCATTATTGATATCAAATATGCCAACCTACTTATTTATTAATGGAATATTTACCTTTTTTAAAGATATTTTCGAGTGAATGACGAATTAATATTTCACTGTCAAAAAACTTTTAGTTATGCTAATTGCATTACCTGTTTTTTAAATTGCGAAATACTATATTCTACAAATAATTTATAAGAAATATCAATGGATAATTCAAAAAGAATGCATAATTGTGAGATGTTTAAGTTATCTAGAAGACGAACAAGTGTAATTGTGGGTTGATCAGGTTACCTTGAAAATAAATGAAGTGATTCATTAACTTAAAGGATGGGTAAATTGGGATATGTCGTATCAGTTGAAATTGAAATCTCCTTTTTTTAATATTATTTAACGAATACATGCAGTAAAATATATAAGAAGTTCAATTGTCGGGAAGCTTTCGTTATTAAAATTTCTCGATAGCAATAGCACACATCTATTCAGAAGAAAGAACTGGCATTAACTCATCGTAATTATGTGATGTTCTAAATGAGTTTTATTATAAAAAGGGTTCAATTGTGGCATCACTCATAGCGCAATAAAATGTGCTGACAAAAGAAAGATGAACAGTTTCGAATCCATTTTCAGTAACCAGTAATTTTCCTTCCACACCCACTGACATCATTCTTTTTCTTTCATTCCTTTCTTTCATAAACAAAAAAGTAAGATGGAATTGTTAAAAAGAAGGAAAAAAGAATATTTAATGCTAACTGATAAATTATAATTGAAATATAAGGTTTATTTAATCAAAAAAAGTGAAATTTTAGCAGAACAAAATCACTTTCATAATGATATTGATAGATAGGTAATTTCAAAATGACTGATTACAGTTCACTGATGGTAATTTTGTTAGCATTTATGACTGTTGAACTTTTACAAACAATGAAACATCCGATCATTCCTGTTGTAAAATCATTTTCACTTTTCATTATCACTTTCTAACCATTTACAGACTCTTTTTTTTACTCTGATAACGTTCTACTACAGATCAATACTATAATGAATTAGTGAATTTGCTATGTTGGAGGACAATTCATTTTCTCTTTCCTCAGGATTGAAATCACCTATCTATAGAGTAAATTAAATTTCGAAAGACGGAGAAAGTAAAAGTAGTTAAAGATATTTTCTTTAAGATTTCCGTTCCCTAAACTGACCAACATGGTCAGTTTAGAAATGAATCGTCAGAAATTCAATGCTTACATCATTTCAACAATAGAAATATCCCATTTGCAAAGTTGAATTGTTCGAAAATGATGAATAGCAAATTTTCAAATGAATCTCCGAAAACAGGTTTGTTTCATATAAATCTATCATGTTATTCTTTTCTCGTTTATGGCATAACCTTATTCCTCGCAAAATATGAAATTGATAAGAAAAGAGTTGATAAATTATCACTATTCATTAAGTATTCTATTTCTTACCAATTCTCTCTATTTTTCTTCTTTGTTCTATCGGTTGTGTTACTTGTAAAATTGATTGTAGACAATTTATAATACGTGGTATTTCACTTTCAAGCAAATTTCATCATTAATGATAAAGGGACTAATAGGATCAGTATGACTAGTAGGGTCACATCAAAGTTCACCTCATTCCACTGCTTCTATCAAATTTTCATACTTCTTTCGAATTTAATTGACTGAGTGAAAGAAAATTTGAATTCATCGAATAAAAATTAACAACTTAAACTCCACTCAAGCACTAAAAAAATTATGGCTATTCATCGTATGGAAGTATTCTTGCTACATATAATTTCAAAATTTAATTGCCTCTCGTAATTATTAACAGTTATGGAAACAATGGAAATTATGCTCGAAAGAATTTGATGTCTCGTTTTATTGACCGCACACTTTCTACATAATATTCAGATATTAAAAGAAATCGTGATGATGCAGAAATATGGCAAAAGTTTCGCAATTCAATAATAAATTTACCGGTGATGAAAAATAGCGAATGTCTTTAATGAGACAAATCAAAGAATATTGGCGGTGTTTTCGGAACATTTCGAGAGGATATACCGGTAGCTGGAAAATGTTAGTGGAATTATATGAAAATAAATTTAGTCCTCGTATAGGATAAATCTAATAATTCTTCATCCCAAATGTAAGATGAAAAAGAAACAACGTTGCGGTATGGTTTGCTAAAGGTGAAATGATGGCAATAACGAGTGTATCAGCAATGGAAAAGATTCTGAAGAGTAAAAAAAATTCAGTTAAAATTTTAGATTTAGGATGAAATGAAATTCACAGTATTTTTTTTTCTTTGCTGATGATGTAAAACGATGATTGATAGTACCGTATTAAAGCATTTAAGATAGTTGATGACGAAATGAAGACAAACATTTTCAAAATTAGTAACTTATGCATTCCATTGTTTCCAATGTTTATGATGTTCGAGGTGTTTGAGAGAACCCGTTGGGCGGTCTGACAACGTTACATTGGAGAGAGAGGAAATATCGCATGATTTCACAACCTCATTGATTTCATTATTTTCAATTGAAACAGAAAAGGGCATTGAGATATAAATGAAAAACTCCGTTTAATTTTATACGTTTATTCTCCATTTCTTTCAAAACTATGACATTTAAGATTTCGAAAAAAAAAGATTCAAATTTCAAAATTTCGAAAAAAAGATTAAATGTCAAATTTTCGAATCGAAATCAAAAAAAGGCGAAATAAAAAGAAGCGAGAAAAACGGGTGACATTTCCTTTATCCGACATCATAACGATTACTTCCTTTCATAAGTTTATTGAAACATCCAACTTTAATGGATAATGAAAGTTTTTATTTTGCCAACAATTAATTTCGACTTTTGAAATTTTCTATATTGTTTGTGGTAAAACAAAAGCATATATGGCACATTAAATTAATCTAAATCTTCCTATCTTAAAATTTATCTTTCCATTTACTACCCTTAAGAATATTACTAATTCTGTCCTTCAAATTGTTCCACTTCAAATTTATTGCACAGAAAAGAAATAACATGGCAAAATTTTTTTGCAAACTTCTTTCACTCTTAATAACATTAATTTCAATGTACTTAAACGAAATCAATTCTTTGGTAGCGATTGAAAAGAACACAAAAGCTTCCCTTCTTTGATGAGCGCAATTTTAAAATGATTCATTTTATACCTGAAATAATCATTCCATTTCATTCTTCCATGATTGTTTGCCTACTACAACAGGTTTTTTATTTAAGTCCACAATAAACTCGATTCTTGATGTTTGCTGAAGAAGAAAGCGCAAAAAAATTGATGAAAAATAATTATCAAAAGATTAATCAATGAATTACACATATAATTAGTTTAAAAATCATTAAGCGTTAAAAAATGTTAGCCATAATAACATTATATGACTTATTGATTTCACTGTCATTTGAAAATTTCTCGTAAAAAAGAAATTTCAAACCTGCAAAAATAACACATCGTTGTGTGTGACTTTTGATGAATTTAATTGAGGCGAAAAATAAGGAAGAGGAAATGTCAATAACTTTCGAAACTTCCTTTAAAAGTTTTTAAAAGAAAAATAAAATTTGCAACTTAGCGAATACTTAAATGAGTATCACTCGTGATTGATTACAATCTTTGTTCGATAAAATTACAATATACGGGAAAATTTGATTTTTTTCATCTGTTCACTAACCTATGATTTGATATGAAACTGTATATTTAAAACTCATGGGATTTCAAACATAAATCAATTTTAAAAAGTTGAAAAGATTTGAGAAGATAGAAAAAAGATAAAAAATTGATTTAAGAAAACAAAGAGGTGAAGTACTTTTATCAAAAAAAACAAATTATTAGGGCATAAAGAACAGTTAAGTTGTCTAACAAAGTTTTTCTTTCTTGATTGCATTTTGAATAATTTAATAAATGATTTAATTAACTGATCCATCGATAAAACTATTGATTTTTTTCTCAGTGAATAATCGCAATTTAACAAGATTTAAAAAGTTCAGAACAAGATTGGCATAATTATCAATTAATTTGTGGGATCTAAAAAAAGGAAAAAATGAGTCCCTTACGAGAAAACGAGAAATTATTCATTTTTACATGTTCAAATCAGTTCATTTTATAATTCGCATCATTTAAAATATTTGAAATATAATATTCACAAAATTATTGTGAAAAAAGGGCAATAAACTAAAGAAGGGAAAAATGAACTTTTTTTCGTTTCAAATTTCTTTTTAATTTATCGAAAATGAACTTTGCCAAATTTCTAAATTGACTGACGTTTAAGGTTTAATGATCCGTGTAACGGGGTTATTACTTTTTATTCTTCTTCGCTTCAGCAATTTTTTGCTTATTGTGAGAGAGATAATTAAAAGGAACAAATTAACTAAATTAGATCTAATTTAAGGTTTGCAGCACTAAACTTCCTGTCATTTCTTACGATTCTTACAGAAATAAAAGAGTAATATTCTGAAATATTTTTTGATTGGAGAGCTTATAAAAGTTTTGGGGATAACTAGTGTGGTAATCAGTAATATCATGCTTATACGTTATATATAGTCGAGAAGAATAATATTGAAGTAGATTGTTAATTTCTTTATTCTGCGCATCTGAAAACTAGTTTGATTCTTCAATGTGATTTTACTGCATTTGATAACATATCAATAACAATGCATGTTTAC